TTTTTTATAAAGTCAATTTTAATATTTAAAAGTATTTAACATTTTGAATTCTGAAACTTTTTCTCTATTAGCAAATTTAAAAACATAATATTCAAAAAAATAGTTAATGTAAGTTTTCATGATGATCGATTAAATTTTCAAATGATCGATCATATTTGAAAATATATAATAGTGGTTCCACGTTAACCGCTATTAGATGTGAACATTTAAGAGCGGTTCCAAGTGGAACCACTATCATATACAACCACATATTTCATTATGATCGATTAAATTTTCAAATAATCGATCATATTCGATAATTTTTTCAAATAATTAATTATAATCGATTAGTTTTCTAAATAATTGATTAGTTTTTCAAATAATAGATTATAATTGATTAATTTCTCAAATATATATTAAAAAATTATAAATAAAAATATAAATTATTTAAGAATATTAATTATTGTAAACATAAAGTAGAACATGGGAGGAGATGAGGATGATAATATAATGATGTAATTGACAAAAATGTAGAATTGAGAAGTTAAAAAAAGAAAAATTGAAGAAAATAGAGATTTAATTATACTTTTAATAAATTTAAGATAATACTAGTTTTGATTTTTATTTTTAAATATTATTTTAATTTTTTAACAAAGAGAAACTATAATTTTAGTTTCTAAATACTAAATTTAAAGAATTAAATTTATTATTATTTAATCTTTTAATTTTAGTATTAAAAATTTAAATTATATTTTATTAAATTAAAATAATTACAATATATTTTTCTACTTTGAGAATGAAAAATATAATTAAACTAAAACTGAAAATATTATAATATATTTTTGAACTCTTTTTGATTAATTTTTTTTCCTAATTTTTTATAAAGTCAATTTTAATATTTAAAAGTATTTAACATTTTGAATTCTCAAACGTTTTCTCTATTAGCAAATTTAAAAACATAATATTCAAAAAAATAGTTAATGTAAGTTTTCATGATGATCGATTAAATTTTCAAATGATCGATCATATTTGAAACTATATAATAGCGATTCCACGTTAACCGCTATCTAAAATATATTTTATATAGCGGTTAAGGTTTAACCGCTATTAGATGTTTACTTTTCAGAGCGGTTCCAGTGGAACCGCTATCATATATAAATGTCAACGCGATAATGATCGATTAAATTTTCAAATAATCGATTATATTTGAAAATATATAATAGCGGTTCCACTTTAACCGCTATCTAAAATATATATTAGATAGCGGTTAACGTGGAACCGCTTATTAGAGATTACTTTTAAGAGCTGGTTCCAGTGGAACCACTATCATATATAACCACATATTTCATATATAACCACATATTTCATTATAATATTTGTAATTTGTTTTCATTGTCTATAAATTACAAAACAAAAAATTTCTAAAAATTTTAATGATAATTTTTTTAACTTATATCTTACAAAATATTTTTTAATACTTTAATAAATATAATTTTTTTAAATATATTTTATCAATTTAAAGTAATCTTTTTTGGTATTTTTTAATATAACTTTTTTATAATTTGTTTGAATATTTATATTTTTAAAAACAAATTTTAATATTTAATATTTAATATTTAAATTTTAAAATTTTTAATATTTAATATTTGTTTTTAATAAACCCCCACCCCCGAGACTTTCACTTTTTTCTCTCATTCTTCCCTAGCCGCCACCCCAAAGACTCCACTCGTAGTCATCCCCGAGCCCTAGCCCCCTCACCGCTCCCCCAAGTCAGCCCTCACCCTAATCCAACCTCCACCAAAGCTCCTCGTCAACCGCACGCCACCCCGTGAGCCACCGCGCCACACCTCTCTTCTTAACCTCCTCCGCCTATTATAATTCTTTAATATGAAATTTCTTAATAAATGTATAAGGATATAAATAAATGTATATGAAATTTCTTTTTTTCAAATATATAAAGATATAAATGTATAAGGATATAAATAAATATATAAATATATCAATATATATATATATATATATCAAAATATAAATATATTAATATATAAATATATAAATATATCATTATATAAATATATAAATATATATATATATATATATATAATATATATATATATATATATATATATATATATGTCAATATATCAATATTATCCCCTCATATATTATTATACATTATTAGCGTAATTTTAGTTTAATTAAAAATTAGAATACAAATATATTATATTATATTATATTAATATACCATTATGTTATAATATTTGTAATTTATATTTATAGTGTATAAATTACAAAACTAATAATTTGTATACTATACTATACTAATATATAATTTGTATACTATACTAATAGTATAATATACTATATTATAATATTATTTGTATACAAAATTAATATCTTTATATATATATATATATATATATATATATATATGGAAAGATATAAATATATGTAAAAATATAAAGATATAAATATATATAAAAATATAAAGATATAAATATATCAATATTTAAATATATCAATGTATTAATATTTAAATATATATTAAAATATATAAATATATTTTTATTTATAGATTTTATATTTATATATTTATACTGGATATACATTTATTTGTATATAAATATAATTTATTTGTAAGTTATTATTAAAAAAATCATAGTAGCTCAGCTGGTTGGAGTTTCAACTCTCCAACTCTAAGGTTCCGGTTCAATCTTAACAATGACAATAAACCTAATAATAAGTTAAACTTTTAAGAAATATTATATAATTAAGAGTTAGGGGAAATAAATATAATTAAAAATGTAAATAAATAAAAATAATTGATTTAGCGATCGATTTAAATCTGTCTCTATTTTTTTAACTTTGTTATTGATTAAGCGATCGATTTAAATCTGGTCGCTATTTTTTTAATTTTGTCATTGATTTAGCGATCGATTTAAATCGATCGCTATTTATTAACTTTGTCATTGATTTAGCGACCGATTTAAATCGGTTGCTATTTTTTTAACTTTTTCATTGATTTAGCGACCGATTTAAATCGATCGCTATTTTTTTAACTTGTCACTCGATTTAACGACCAATTTGATATATTAATTTCTGTCGCTATTTTGCGATCGAAATAAAATCTATCGCTATTTTGCGACCGAAATGAAAATTGGTCGCTAACACATTAGCGCTTGGCTTTTTGCGACGACGCCTTTCTGTCGCTAATCGATTAGCGACTCGATTTTTTCTGATCGCTAAAATGCTTTTTTCTTGTAGTGATAAATTACTAAAAATATTAATAATAAGATTGAAAAATAATTTTTTAATTCTTATTTTAATCTAAATAAATCTATTATATTATAATTTATATATTAAATAATTATATTTAAAATAAAATTAATCTAATTAATATAATTTAGATTTTAAAATATATTAAAATATATTTTAATTAATTATTTTTATATAAACATATTAATAATTTTTTTATGAGGTGATTTGTTAATCTATTCACCTAATATCGACCAAACTAAAAAAAGTTATGATACGTTTAAAATTATAGACGAAATTGTCAATCAATTTTTTTATATTCTTTGTTTGTTTTAACAAGAGTGGCTAATGGTGTGTTCTTACCTTTTGTTTAAAGGAACTTTATTATATCAAATTAATTATTTACAAACATATCTTTATTTTTCTTATAAACTAGATTGATTTAGCTTTAATTATAAGCTGGCTACATTGTGGGCATGATGAGTGCATGTGCTAGTGGGTTAGACTTATTTATCTTTGGATAAATTAGCATCTTAGTGGGAAGATATTTTCTTTCACTAATTGTTTTTTTTTTTGGGTATAAAAAGTACCTTTCAATCGATAAATATATAATTCCTTTTGAGACAATTTTTTTTAAAGTACATTGTGCAGTTTTATGAGAGTGTGTTGGATACAAGAAGCTTAAAAATATAAAAACTTATAATACCTATTGAGTTTCTTCGTAAGGCATTTTAGAGATAAAAATAAAAAAATGATTGTTTAATACACTATTTTTTTTTTTTTAGAAGTTCTATAATGCAATTTCTTCATATTTTTGTTTTTAACTTGTAGATAATTTTTTTTAATTTATAAATAAATAAACTTTTTTATATATATATTCCTTATGCAAACATGCATTTAAACAAATATATTTTTTATGAAATTAGATAATAAATTAGCATATATATGATGGACAAAGTATTTTTCACGAAAACAAAAGGGATAAAATATATATAAAAAAAATTATTAACTGAAAGAAATGTAGATTTATTCACATTTTTTAAAATAATTATTTTTAAATTTTACTTTATTATTTTTTATTTTATTTTGGTACACATTATTTTCCAATATATATAGTACTTTTTTTTCTCTATTTTATAATTTTCTTTATATTCATAATATTATAATAATTATTTTTCCTATATTTTCTATCCCTTCTTTTTAATTGATATGATAAAATTATTCTTTTATAAATTGTTACTTCAAAATAACAAAATGAGAACTTTTTATATAATGATAATGATATAGATAAACTGTGTCATTGAAAGAAAAAAATCTGTTTTAAAAAATAAGCCAAACGTCATAACCTGCGTATATGCTTTTTATTTTAATAAATTATAATTTAATATATACTAATTTTATAATATAAATATTTATCTTTAAAAAAATTGATCTTTATTTTGATATTATTTTATCAAAACTTGTTGAATTTGAAAATCTAACAGATTTTTTTCAATTTTATCGTATTTTTTTAATTTTATACTAAATTAATTAAAATCTAATTTTTTGAAAGTAGGGATCTATTTTTCTACCAGTTATCATTTGGACCAATTGAACATGGTCGGTCATCTGGCGTGGTTTTGAGAAAAGTGAAAAGAAAACAGAGATGAAATTGATTATGATAAACACCATTATGGTAGGTCCCAATCCCAATAATTTTGGGTAGGTAATGTGACGTTAGTGACTAAGGAAATGGAGAAGGGTAGGTGAAGATTTCTTTATAAGAGATGTATACGTGGTCACGTAACCACAACCCAAACCTAGTGAAGTTCCCAAAGCCAAAAAACTACAACATGAGGAAGTTTCTTCTGATTTTCCTGTTCTTGGAAATTCTTAACCCTGAAGCACAATATTCCAATGCCCACCCATTTGACTACTTAGAACTAGCCTTAAGATGGCCAAACTCCTATTGCGTCACACATGAAGGTGGTTGCAGACAAATAGTTCCCCAATATTTCACCATTAGCTATCTTCGTCCAATGAAAAGGGATGGCCCAGATATGCAGTATTGCCCCACTCCAACTTCTCTGCAAAATACTACTGTAAGTCTCTCTATTCCATTTGCATGCACTGAGATCACAGTTATCACATTTTATGATCGGTTTGGTTTATCATTTCCTTCATGTTTGAACAGACTAAGAATCTTCTTGGATAAAGTTTTTCTAAATATCTCTATAATTCATATCCATGCAGATCGAGACAAATAAAAATGACCTACTCCTATTCTGGCCTGATCTGAGCACTGACAATTTCATAGAGAGCAAGTCATTATGGAGGGACCAATGGAAGAAGTTTGGATCCTGCTATAACATGATGCCAGATGACTATTTTACGTATGCACTCAACAATAGAAAGAGAAATGACCTGAAGAGAATCTTGACAAATGCAGGTTTAAATGAACAATTAAGGAAGAAAGAATCTTGCTTTGAACCTGAATTCTTGTTGTTAATAGGGCTATGCAAAATCTATTGTTGAAATTTTCACTCCTAATTTAAGTTGTGTGATTATGGTTTCTTTGTCAGGTATTGTTGCCAGGGGAAATTCATATCCATCGCATAGGATATTAGGCACTTTCAGAAGAACTCTAGGTGTGAATGTGAACATTGTGTGTGAACCAGATAGAAGTGGCAATTTTTATCTTGCTGAGGTTCATCAGTGTATTGATGTTTCTGGAACAATTCCTATAGACTGTGAAAATAAAGCAAGAGGATGTGACGACGACCCCATATTTCCCTATACGGGATTCCAACCAGATAACAACCCCAAATAATATAACACCTTGTAATAACAATTTCCCAATATATATAACTGAAGGGCCTCTATGTGTATATTGAGGAAATAACTGATAAAATATTTGAATAAAATTTAGAAAAAGACTTGGACGGCAAAACAAGAACTTTTCGCTAATCATGATATCTACTATTTCAATTTGTATAAAATTTAGTTAAAATGATATGTTCCAATATTTGTAGTTGTTATTGGATTGTTTGATAATGTTATTATTGTTTTAATATAATATTTTGTTGAAAATGTAAAAATTAAGTAGGTATAACAAAAAATTTTGTTTTGTAGAAGTAATAGTAAAAAATAGTATTTTTTATGACTTATAATGATTCTAATTTAATAAGTTAAACTGTGATAATTTTGTAATTAAAATTTACATCAAGGTTTAAATTTGAATTTGAATTGATATAAAAAATATTTTTTATGTTGGTTTAAAATTGAACTGGTAAAGTACATTTTATGCCGATTCAAACGGTCAGAGTAAATGATTTTGTAAATTATAAACAAATAATTTTTATGTTAATTAATTTTGAATTGTCATAATAAGTATTTATTAGATGATTCTATTTTGAACTAATATAAAAAATGATTTTGTCAATTTTAAACGAGTCATTTTTTATGTCAGTTAAAAATTAAACCGTCATAAAGATTTATTAAGACAATTCAAAATTAAACTCGACATAAAAAATACTTATTATAATAATTTAAAATTTTATTCTCTCTATATTCCTTATTTTTTAATTTTTCCCTCCAATGTAAAAGAACTGTACACAACTTCTTTCTTTTGTTTAATTAATTAGTTTCTCATTATATTCATCTATTTTTGTTTTCTTCGTACATGTACCATCATTTTGTACAATCATGTTTCTGTAATGTAATATATGAAAACATTGTTTATGTTTTAGTTTACATTTCATGATTTGATTTAATGAAGTATTTTAATATATGTTAGATTATAATTGTTATTATAAATTTTGTCTTTTGTGAATGATTTTTTTATTCCGTTCAAGTAAAATTATCTATATTTTATGTTTAATTAATTTTTATTTATAGATAATGTTGTATTTATTTTTTGAAATTTGTTGTTATATTGAAACTGTTTGATAAAATATTTATAAAAATATAATTATATAAAAAAAGGTTTAACAGTAAACCTTCTATGATAATTATTATTAGAACCTATATAATAAATATTTATTATATTAATTATTTAACAACTAACAAAAATATACATTTTATATTATCCAAATCTATGTCGGTTTTATAATTAATATAAAAAATTATAAAATAATTGTTATAAAATATCTTTCTTCCGCTAGTAAATAAAAATAATCACTTATTATTTATGAAATTTTTTTATAGTAAAACTTGTACAAAATTAACAATATAAAAAAAGTCCATCACACGATCGCTACATTTAAAATATAAATGTTGTGACAGATTTGGTGTATCATCTTTTAATACGTCGTTACAAAATTATTTTAAGATCAATGGTATTTGTTTAATGATCAAAGTTTGTGAAAAAAATTATAGAAAATATTTCATGATCATAAACATTCAATTTTTTTTTATAATTAATGATATATTTTATGATGAAATAAGACTAATAAGACGCACTCACTTAAGCAGAATAATAGTAGTTTGAAGAGAATAGTGAAAGTAAAGACTTGAGATGTTATTAATTATTGGCATTATTGCTTTAAGGGATATAATGATTACGTTTAAGCAACAGATACTTAGTGAGTGAATTCACTCTTATTGTGTTTTCAATGAGAAGAGTTGTGTTCGCACTTTATTTTTATTTAAACGAATCCACTTTGGTTTAAGCGTCATTTTCTTTAACCGTGATTTTAGTTGCATTTAAGTGAGAGTTTATTGTTTTAATATTTTTAAAAAAGTTTTAATTATTTGGAATAAATTTTTAATTAATTTTTTGTATTATTATTTTTTAATAGTAAGTTTTTATTTAGTACACATTCTCGAGTAGCATCAGTGGAATAAATATTTGAAATATAATTATCTTTTATAGATTTTAATAAATTTAGAAATGTTATTAACATAGGAATCTAATTTTATTTTACTGGTTTGAGTATAGCATATTTACGGGGTTACCCATATATATGATGTAATATGATAATTTCATAATAATATAATATGTAAATATATAAAAGTTCTACAATTGAAACAAATAGGGAATGATAAAATAATTTTCAAATATACATTACAGGACATAAAAAAAAGATAAAAATAAACATGAAAGATTCATTGTCAAATAGTGTGACTTTTCACCTATTGTATCAATGACATAGTCCTCATCATTGTTAATGAAGGTAGGGCTAGCTGCTCCTTCTTGCAGTGGATGAGATGTCCCAAATACATTTAGATGAAAATGTAAGTTTATTGTCATTGTGATGAAGATTGAAACTCCCAACCACTCGAGCTATTAGGATTTTTTAATAATAACTTACAAATAAATTATATTTATATACAAATAAATCTATATCCGTATAAATATATAAATATAAAATCTATAAATAAAACTATATTTATATTTTTTAATATATATTTAAATATTAATATATTTATACATTGATATATTTAAATATTGATATATTGATATATTTATATATTTATATTTTTATGTTTTTACATATATTTATATCTTTATATTTTTACATATATTTATATCTTTCAATATTTATATATTTATATCTTTATATTTTTACATATATTTATATCTTTCCATATTTATATATTTATATATAAAGATATAAAGATATTAATTTTGTATACAAATAATATTATAATATAATATATTATACTATTAGTATAGTATACAAATTATATATTAGTATAGTATAGTATACAAATTATTAGTTTTGTAATTTATACACTATAAAAATAAATTAAAATATTATAACATAATGGTATATTAATATAATATAATATATTTGTATTCTAATTTTTAATTAAACTAAAATTACGCTAATAATATATAATAAATTACAAATATTATAACATAATGGTATATTAATATAATATAATATATTTGTAATCTAATTTTTAATTAAACTAAAATTACGCTAATAATGTATAATAATATATGAGGGGATAATATTGATATATTGATATATATATATATATATATATATATATATATATATTTATTTATAATATAATGATATATTTATATTTTGATATATATATATATATATATATATATTAATATATTAATATATTAATATATTTATATATTTATTTATATCCTTATACATTTATATCTTTATATATTTGAAAAAAAAATTTAAATATTAAATTTTAAAAATAATATTATATTTTAAAAAATAAATATTAGAAAAAGATTTAAAAATATATATAAATTATATTTACATGTTATCTTTATATCTTTTCATATATTTGTATTTTTATATCTTTATATCTTTATATATATTTATATCTTTATATATTTACATCTTTATATATATATATATATATATATATATATATATATATATATATATATATATTTATATCTTTATATATTTAAAAAATCTATAAATATAAATATATTTATATATTTTAATATATATTTAAATATTGATATATTGATATATTTACATATTTATATATTTATATATTTCCATATTTATATATTTCCATATTTATATATTTATATATTTATATCTTTATATCTTTATATATTTATATATTTATATATTTATATCTTTATATATATATATATATATATATATATATATATATATATTATATCTTTATATATTTATAATATCTATATATATAAATATATTTATATATTTTAATATATATTTAAATATTGATATATTGATATATTTATATATTGATATATTTATATATTTACATATTTATATATTTATATACTAATATACCATTATATTATTTTCATTGTATATAAATTACAAAACTAATAATTTTTAAAAAATTTAATGATAATTTTTTTAACTTATATATTACAAAATATTTTTTAATACTTTAATAAATATAACGTTTTTTATATATTTTCATTAATTTAAAGTATAACTTTTAATATTTTTTTAGTATTTTTTTAAATGTAGATATCTTTAATATTTTGGACATATAAATATAATTTATACATGTTTTTAAACCTTTTTCTAATATTTGTTTTTAAAAATATAATATCATTTTTAAAATTTTATAGATTTTATATTTATATATTTATATTAGTATAATATACAAATAATATATTAGTATAGTATAGTATACAAATTATTAATTTTGTAATTTATATACAATGAAAATAATATAATGGTATATTAGTATAGTATATTTGTATTCTAATTTTTAAATAAATTAAAATTACGCTAATAATGTATAATAATATATGAAGGGATAATAAATTTAATCCAATTACTTTTATAAATATATAAATATAAATCTATAAAATTTTAAAAATGATATTATATTTTTAAAAACAAATATTAGAAAAAGGTTTAAAAACATGTATAAATTATATTTATATGTCCAAAATATTAAAGATATCCACATTTAAAAAAATACTAAAAAATATTAAAAGTTATACATAAAATTACTAAAATTTTTATATAAATTTATTCTAGTATATCAATTAACAATAATAATACATAAAATTTAAAAACTAAACTAAAAAAAGTAAGTTTAAATTTATAAAAAAATACATTACTAAAAGTATCATATTATATTAAGATTTTCATTATTTTCGTTAATTATAAATTTAAATGTGTTTCATAAATAAAATTATAAATTTAAATGTATTTTCACTTTTGATCCATCATATATAAAAATAAATAGTCTCTTATAAATGTTGTTCTATTTTAATCCATCATTAAATTTGTTTTATATACGAATTTGATGACTTATCATGTTATTAAAAATTTGGATGAAATAATTATGTATAATACTTTTTTTAGTATATTATGTTTTTAAATTTGTTAATAGATAAAAAGTTTC